CTAACTGTCTGCTGGAGGAGGATCAGAGATGGTTGTGTTTCTGTTAAAACGATTTGTAATATGATATGCATAAAAAAAAACTGGCTTTTTGGTGGTTTCCATAAGGTGAAATATTGTTTAATTGCATGAATTGAATATGTGAAAACTACTGCTTATAGGCCATAAAGAAACATTTGATAAACTGTCTAAACATCTTTGCTCTGCTTATTTTTAAAGAAATAGTACGCACAAATCAATATTATGATGTGTTCATGATTCATAGACTTTCCTCACAGCAACCCTTTACTTTATCAGTATATTTACTGGAAAACAAAAAAATAACTTAAATATGGTAGTATAAAAAAAAAAAATTTAATAGTTACAATAATGTATTTCATTGTTTAGATCACATACCACACTGGCAAAATGCTTTTCTTATTCTAAACAAACCTCCTATCTTGACCTAAGTCTTAAAACCCTTTCAAGAAATGTACTTAACATCAAAATTGCACATTTTGATAGTTTTACAGGAAAACGAGAAAGAGTAATTATTAAGAAAATGACATGCAAGTATTTTCCCTTGTGCTCCGGAGGACGTACACCTGCTTTTATAGGTAATCTAGACCAGAAAAGCAGGATCTTTTTGAACGTATTAAACACAGCTTAACGCAGGGAAAGAGCGTACAAAACTCTTCCGTCAGTGATAACGGAGACAAATCTGTTTTCAGTTTTTAGAATCCAAAAACAGCGGATTATCCCCGGATCCATTCCTTCCCCTCTCGCTCACAGATGTCTGCAAGTTTCCTTTTCCCCCCCAGAAAAAGCAAGGATTATGAAGTCAATTACATTTGCGGCACAGTTTGCTATTGGAATACATACAGCAGTAGCTCATTTCTTTGTGTTTTTCCATCTTTTTTAATAGTAAATACAAAGCAGTTGTGATAAAGCAAACATGGTGATACAAACAGTATTTTTTTTTTGTTCTTTGAAAAGAATCAGGAGAAAATGGGAGGACACACAAGCTATAATGTGGTGTATGTACAACCTCCTTCAACATGAGCTAAAAGAGCAGAGACAGGAAACAGTTAACTGCATGTGAGAAGCAAAATAAATTGAAGAAGAGATAATATTGAAGCAAGCTGAGTGGCGTTTCTTAACGACAAAAAAAGCCTGAGGTTTGGATTGGTTTAAAAGAAGGGGAAAAAAGAGACCCTCATGATAAACAAGCTCTGATTTTTATATATTTAAAAAAAAAAATTCTTAAAATAGTTTGCTAGTTTTAGACTAAACATGCAAGACATACAACTAAGTGCAACTGAGTGAAAAGTTACATCTTTTTCTTAGTTACTCATTCCCTAGAGGTTTGAACTGAGGTATGCATACTAACAGTTTCTCATGCTGTATTTCTTCAGTAATGCCGAGCTACACATGCGGTGAATGGTCTCATCTACCTGCTCAAGAATAACAATCAGAAACGGCCCTCAGATGAGCCCCGAATCTGTCCCACTGCAGCTGCCCGGATGCTCCATTCATTTCAGTGAATCCTTCTCATCAATACGAAATGCTTGGATAAATTTACAAAGAGTAGTAACTGCCATTAAAGTACCTTGTACCCAGCTTATTGGTTGACAGGAGTGTTTTTTAATATAAAAAAGTAATAAGTTGACAGACACTAAAACATCATAGAGCATTGCCAAGTTTAACAAAAGGACATTGATAATCCCGGTTCGAATTTACAAGGTAAGTGGCATACAATTTTTTCAAAAAATAAAATGGCAAAAAAAAATTCTAAAGTATGAGAACAAATGAAACTCATCATTGTGTGGTCCAGTTTGAAGTTCAATTCACATTGTGTTATGTAAATGTTTTCCCCCTCCTGGATTTAAATTTCCTGTGACGACAGTGAACAGTCCTAAACTTTTCATCCATATCCTTCTCCTTTATAGCCATCATTTCCTGATAGAACACTCCCTTTTTTTCCCTTTTCATTGGCCCAAAGACAACATTGCTTTGATTTGGTCGTGTGTTGGTCTCGATCTACTATTTTGGTCACAGGCAAAGACATACAGCTGCCCATCGAACAACCCTTTGGTTGTTCCCTTTTTTTTTTTTTCTTCACCATAATAAGCCAGACACAGTAACAGACATTTCATAATTTTTTGCGTCCGGCCAGTGCGGGGAACACTAAAAGGATATTTGGCCTTTCGTTTAGCTATTGCATGGAACATAGAATATATCAACTTGTAGTATCTTGTATCTTTGGTAGTCACAGATGAGACGCATAAACATCAACTTAAGTAAAAACAAAATGACAATAAAAATGGAAGTAATAAATAAGAACACAGAAAGTGGTTGGTTGCAGTCATTCGAAAAACAAAACACAGTCGGTTCGATTTGTAGAAGCCTAATCTAAAGTCTGTTCTCATCCTTGCGCAGTCCCAAAATTTGAATCAAAACTAGCCAGCGACAGCAGCTTCCAATTCGGAGCTGCTTTCCGGATTCAAAAGGCCTGCGTGGAAACAGCCAGTCGGAAACAATCGTTTCCAAGGAGATGTGGCAAGAAGCGAATGGTCATAGTGGACTGCCCCAGTGCTGTAATGCTCAGTGGTCATGGCTGTGCCGTCAGCCTCAGTTTATAACCCCTTTAACGTTTATCCCGTGTGTAATTATTATCATGTCTAATAACAGAGACTGAGCTGGTCATTGATGTGGCGAGACAGATATTGAAGCTAGAGGGAATGCAGTTTAAAGTCATCCAGACAGTCTTTGAAATGACAGAATTGAATAAAAAGGCAAAAAAAAAAAAAGTTTCATATATGCCGACAATAACGTTCAGGAATCACAATTAGCTTTTGCCTAACAATCCTCTCCCTGGTGCTTATTTCAACATTTTTGACATTTCATTTTGCAGTACAGATGATGGTTTCGATCAGCGATTTGGTTGACGCTAACATGCATCACCACAAAAGGGGATTTTTGAAAGTATAATTTCAGAACGATAAACGTTAACCTGCGTTGGTTTCTCTGTCATTCATTCCACGTGAAAATTAAACTTCATTGGTGCGTGGAGAGGAAGCCTTCATTACAAGTAGTGCATTTGCAGACGGACTTCATGAGCGGGAAAGAGAGTGTTGTGTGTGTGTTTGTGTCGGCACGCAAGGGCAATGTGACTGCAAAGTGGCGATCCGAAACGCTAGGAACAAATGACAGAAAAATACTACACGGTAATACGACATTCTGTTTCAATTTCGAAAGGAAAGAAAGAGGCAAAAAAGAGAGCATGAGAAGCCTTAACATTCGTCCAGTGCTAAGCACGCCATAACTCCATGTCATTATTCATGAGGTCTGATCAGTTACCAAAACAAACAAACCCAAAAAAAGGATATATAGCTAACAGCACAGAGTAACGAGAAGACACTCACAGGAATCCTCAGAACACCAGACAGATATCCTCCAGCTGCGATGACAGCGAATTTGAAAGGAATAGTGCACTTAAAAAATAATGAACATTTTGTCATTTATTCAAAATCTTGTTGTTCAAAAGCTGTATGACTTTCCTTTTATCCCTAAAACACACAATATGACATTTTAAAGAGTGTACCAGCTGCTCTTTTTCATGCAATTACAATTAATGAGGAGTGGAGCGACATGTAAGCATCATAAAGGGTGTCCATAATGTTTTCCTATATTCCAAGTCTTCTGAAGTTGTAGATCGATTTGGGTAAGAATCTAAGAATCCAAAATCGAAGTCACCATTCACTGAAAACCTTGCCTTTCTTTGAGCCATGAGCAGATCACTGATCAGTGAGCTGAACTCGAGAATCAGTCAGTAGGTTTTGAACTTCAACTAATTCACTAAAAAGATCTGACTTAAAGTGATTCGCTCACAGTTCAGACAACCCTACTTCTCTCATGAACTCAGGGAGAGCATTCACTTCCATTATATTTCATCATATGAAAAAGCAACCAAGTACACTCTTCAAAACGAATCATTTTGTGTTTCATGGAAGAAAGAATGTCATACGGGTTTGGAACGACATAAGGGTGAGCAAATGATGACAGAGTTTTCATTTTTGGGTGAACGGTCCTTTTGAGAAGATCGGAAGGCAGAGACAATGAATTAAAGTCAAATACGTACACGCACACTGTGAGTGGCACGCTCATTAAAGCGCTTATGATTTGTGTGTGTGAGAGTTCGTGATCAGTGTTTATTAATGAGTCTTTCTCAGCTGTGTTTTCATGTCCGCTCTGGTCTCAGTGACACTTATGCCAAAAGGAAGTAAAAGCAGGCCCCAGTACCAAATGACTCTTCATCAGGCGATGAGTAGAAATGTACGCGTCTCGTCTTTAAACCGAAAAGTAGAAACAAATCAAAAATACTTCCAAATGGAATAGATTTTCTTATCTCGTATTTTGTTTCGTATTCAATGGCACTAAGAGTAAATTGGAACATTTTAATAGCTGTCAACAAGAGGATTGGGAATCCAGTCTTTTTCTGGAGTGGTCTCACAGGTGACCGCAGTTAGTATGGCCTCTTCAGCAGAGGACCTGGGAGAAACCAGGCTTACAGCATGATCTCGTGACCGTGGTCGTCCTCGTAATCTCTGTTGTGGTCAAAGTCTGGACTGTGATTGGCTGTCGTCACAAGAGAAAGGGGACCTTCGTGCTCCTCGGGGTCCAGTGGCTCCTCTTTTACGCTGATATGATGCCTGGGAATAAAACGGAATAGGAATGCTAATTTATTTTCACACAAAAGCCTCCATTCTCAGAAAAAAAGCTATAATAATAATATAAAATTTATTAACTTGAATATATTATTTAAAATAATTCTTAATGAATGAATATTTTTGAAGAGTTTTTCTTTGGATATTGTGTATTGGCTTTTTCTTTTTCTTTCCTTTAATTTGACTTTTATTGTTTTTCAGTTTTGGGTGGGGTCTATAAAAATATGTTTAAAAAAAACTATATATATATAAAAAAAAAAAAACTGATGCATGGATCTATAGTATCTGTGACCGCAGTTAGTATGGCCTCTTCAGCAGAGGACCTGGGAGAAACCAGGCTTACAGCATGATCTCGTGACCGTGGTCGTCCTCGTAATCTCTGTTGTGGTCAAAGTCTGGACTGTGATTGGCTGTCGTCACAAGAGAAAGGGGACCTTCGTGCTCCTCGGGGTCCAGTGGCTCCTCTTTTACGCTGATATGATGCCTGGGAATAAAACGGAATAGGAATGCTAATTTATTTTCACACAAAAGCCTCCATTCTCAGAAAAAAAGCTATAATAATAATATAAAATTTATTAACTTGAATATATTATTTAAAATAATTCTTAATGAATGAATATTTTTGAAGAGTTTTTCTTTGGATATTGTGTATTGGCTTTTTCTTTTTCTTTCCTTTAATTTGACTTTTATTGTTTTTCAGTTTTGGGTGGGGTCTATAAAAATATGTTTAAATAAAACTATATATAAAAAAAAAAAAAAAACTGATGCATGGATCTATAGTATCTAAATATGGAGCCCTGCACATGACATGCGGGAAAAATATATATACATATCGTGGCCACAGCTAATTAAATTGTTCCCTCATTTTAGTAAATCATGGCCACATTGTACTAATTTGTTCCCTTTTTTAATTAAAATCAAAACGAGGGAACAAATTAGTACGACATGGCCACGATTTACTAAAATGAAGGAACAAATTAATAAGGTGTGGGAACAAATTCTTAATATGTGGCCATGATTTACGAGGGAACTGATTAATAAACAAGTGGACAAATTCTTAATTTGTGGGAACGAATTGTTAATTTGTGGCCACAAATATATTTTTGTCCCCAAGTCAAGTGAAGGGCTCTGCATCAAAACAATATTGTGACAATAAAAAAAAAAAATCATAACATATCAATTTACAGTAGGCAATAATTGTGCAGTGCAGCCACTACCATCTACTGGTTAAATATCTAAAAATAAAAAGGACTAGTGTAACGACCAGCTGTTTCTATAATGAAAGACTAACAGCAGTGCCCTGATAACTCCACTTCTCGTTCAGTTCTTCCAGCACCAGGATACCTGCCGGCTTTATTTTACACAGCTGGCCTGACAACAGGGTTTTCACTTTGAATTGATAAATGAGGGAGATTAACAACATGCGACGTGGCGACGAGAGAATGGACTGCGGCGAGTGAGCGGACGGCCTGTCAGCTTCCCGGTGGCGTCGGATCAGTGCCGCTCCGCGCGCTCCTCTTCTCGCTCGTTAACATGCACAACCTGTGAGGCGGGTCTCTAGAGGACAACCCTGCACAAGGTTCCGTCATTAATCAACTTCAAGCATGCAAAAAAAACAAAAAAACACAGTGACCAGACAGCGCAGCGTACGCTTTAAATACACGCAAAATTAATGCAACTTCTAACCAAAGTGTCAATAAGGGGAAGAAAAGCAGTGGCGGGGAGGCGTGCGAGACGAGAGGGGAAGGGGGAGGCGCTGACGACGGGGCCCAACACAAACGGCTGTGATAAGAAACAGAGCCCTTACAAGAATAATAACGCTGTCAGTTGTAAACAAGGCAAAACATGAACCCCAGCTCACAGTCTGGGCACAGGATTGTCCACAGAGATGAGATCTGCCAAATTTCTCATTACAGAAACACTGCAGGAATAGAGCACCAATGAGCGAGCGCTGAAGACGACCAAAACCGAAAGGAATAAAAGGATAAACATAAGAAGCAGCTGTGGCAGGGCCTTTAAGTTAATTAGTCGCACATGGCAAACTATCCACCTTGTTTTTTAATGGGGAAGTAAGCCATTTTCTGTGAATGTGCAAGACTTCCGGTTCATTAGCCGTCGTAGGGAAATAACAAGAATAACAACAAAGTACAGTAAATGGTAAAACTGTTTGCACTACAAACCAGTGTGTTCATAATTAAGATAATACATTAAGATAATATGGTAAGACACACCAGTTTGCAATATCAAGCAGCAAAACAAGCTGTTTTGTACAGTAGAAAAAACCTGGAAGCGAATGACACCGGAAGCCAGACCCATAAACTTTATAAATGGCCGCTCCTGCTCTTACAGGAAAAATAAGGTGGATAGGTTTTCTCTAAGATATGTTTAGCAAATGTAATTAGCCACAATATCTTTTTCCCCCCCCAAATAACCTCTCCTCTCATACGCTTCTCATTCATGATTGTTAAAAAAGCAGCCATGCTAACGAGTTATCATATTTTGTGTGCGGATAATAAGAAAACTCTCGCCTTTCTATCGGTTTTAGATCAAAGCGTCTCCATGTGTCCCATGGCCTCCGGTTCTCAATCTCTAGCTGGAGGGCAAACATGAAATTGTTATTAATATGCAACTGAGCTGCACTCTAATTTCTCATTACAGAAACACTGCAGGAATAGAGCGCCAATGAGCGAGCACTGACTCTACAGGGGAAGACAACCAAAACTGAAAGGAATAAAAGGATAAACATTAGAAGCAGCTGTGGCAGAGCCTTTAAGTTAATTAGTCTCACATGGCAAACTATAGGTTTTCGCTAAGACATGTTTGGCAAATGTAATTAGCCACAATATCTATTTTTCCCCCCAAACAACCTCTTCTCTCTCCACGATTGTTAGGAAAGCAGCCATGCTAATGAGTTATCATATTTTGTGCGTGAATAATAAGAAAACTCTCGCCATTGTATCGGTTTTAGATCAAAGCCCCATGTATCCCATGGCCTCCGGTTCTCAATCTCTAGCTGGAGGGCAAACATGAAATTGTTATTAATATGCAACTGAGCTGCACTCTGCTTTAGCCTTCATTGTAATTAGGACTGAAGCATCTGATTGCAGGAATCTGCAACAATACATACAGGTTCAGACACTATAGAAGCCCTTTTGTTAGATGTTATTAATTGTGACTCTAAATCATAGGAGAATGTATAATTCAAAAACAATAAAGCTAGTATATAGCGGTTATATTAACAATGTACTCGGGTGTTTACCTCATAATTACAGGCCTGGTTTACCTCGTAGAATGTTAAGACAAAAATAATTATATACTTGGGCTGGCAATACTATGTAATAATTTTAATATTTGACATTTAATTACACAGTTCAAAATAACTCATAATACTAGAAAGGTTGAGTTACAAATTTGTACAAAGAATTTATGTTTGATTTCAGAAAAATACTTTTTGTGTTTTTGCATTTGCATCCAAAAGGAATAAGGGAAAAAAAATTATTTCACGAAGGATAATGCTTTACAAAAAAGTAAAGTGGTGGTACCATTACTTTTTTGTACCAGTACCAGTGTCAGATGATAATACCACAGTAGTGAGTGTTTAAAATATTCATGTTCTATAGCTTTTACATGGTAATCCAACGTACTTCATAGAAATGGAATTGCCATGGTAAAATACATGTATTACCATGGTACCATGTCTAGATGCAAATTAAAAAAAGTTTTTTTTTTCAGAAAATGTAAACTAAAATTATGTTAATCTGAATATTCTGAATATATGCATTTTCCTTTGTGTTTGTAATCATGGCCATATACATGCTTAGGAATACTATTTGATATTTTAATTAGAATTATAAATAACTCATAAATTGTTGCATTGGAAGGTTAAAGATATAACCTGCCCATCTAAAATCTGCTTGAACATTTGATAATAATAAGCTTTCCTTGCCTCATCTCTAAGTGACAACATTTTTTTATTAGTGAAAAAGTTATTCGCCGAAATTGAAACGCGGTGCCCTTGATAACATGATCCATAAATCTGGTTAACTTAATAAACCTCAGTGCATTTTATGTTAATGTTTTATGTATGCTCATATATTCTCACACTTTGTACAGCTTGTGTTTGGGGCAACATCTTTGCTTTTGAGTGTGTTAAGTTGGCAAATGCCTGGAGAGGTGAGAGGCAGACGCCTCAGAGCAAGCACACCCTTCCTGTCTCTCTGTATCCTGAGGATGGGGCAGGCCTGCAGCTATGTTACCTGCCATTAGCACTTCTCTCACCCAAATCTTCACGAGTTCATTACCACACCGTTTTTTCTTTTAAAATGATTTGCTGATATTTCACAGAAACTGCAATAAATCTCGCTGAGCAACAAATCACCATTCTGTCCTCCGACATCTGGAAACCATGTTGTCTGCACCATATTATTTTAAGCTTCAAACAACACGGCGGTCCCTCCCATACAACAAGTGTATGGGGAGCTGTGGTTTCCAACCCCGACCGCAGCTCAGCTACATGGAAATCTTGGAGCGGTTTCGTCAAGGCTAATTACGACCCCCCACCCCTCCCTTCGTTGTTTTACTCTCGATTGCTCGCAGAGTTTTCGGATGTGTTGCGAGTCCTGTCTGGCTGGAAAAACGAGGCCAGTTCTGTCATCTTCTATTCACCACTTTGTAAATATTTAAACAAAATGGAGGCAATAATTAGGGAGGAACTCGGCGTAGTACGCCACACACTATTGACCCGTAATAAAAGCGAGTTTAGAAACTTCTCCTCGAAATAACACAGAGAGACACTATTTTCTTTATGAGTTCCCCCAACGTAGAAACCCGCCAAAGGTGGGGTTTCCTTCTAAGACTGCATTCACAATTCCTACTTCCTCTGTAAACTGCAGTTTTCTATATAATTTCACGGCTGGCTAAACATCTACTGTAATGTACATCAAACCCTACTGTGCGTTCGGAGACTATTTTCAACTCCTAGTGACCTGGTGAAAAATTTCCACCACTTAAGCCGCACGAGCGTCGCTTTGCATGCGCGTGAGCCTAATGACTCCTGGACATATCCCTTTACCTTGTGCCCCTATCTCAGTCACACACACACTATGAAGGTGGGACGTGAGCCACTCACATAGCTGGCAGGGGCGAGCGTCCAGGGCTGCTGTCACTACAGTTGCTGTTCCCGTGGTCCATGGCCCCATTCATTTCCTCTCGGATGGCGCTGGCAAGCGAGTTAAGAGTGGGACTTCCGATGGAAGCGGTAGTGTATAGAGGTATGTTGTTCTCTGCCATTGAAGCCTAAAACAGAATGGAGGAGATGAACTCAGTGAGACAAATTCCTACAAAACATTAGGCTCATCCAACATAAATAACCATTTATTCATTTGCACACTTGGACCTATTTAGGTGTTTTTAAAGTCATAATGATGACATGATGTGTGATCAAGTGAATTAAATGAAAAATAATTTTCTGACAGTTTTTACACAAAAAAGTCAGAAAGATGAAATGAAAAGAATGCAGAGTGTACTTGATAATTAGTCAATATATTTGTTTTTTATATATTGCATTCTCATAGTGCCACAAGGGAATGTTGGAAATTGCATTTTTGTCACACAAGACTGTCACTTTATAAACCAGCTAAATGAGTAGTATTTTCTAACAAGCTTTATTGTTATTCCTCATCAACTGTACACAAACTACTATATTGTACAGTCAATGACTGCATGAGGGCAGCAACTAAATAGATGAATAAATAAAAGCATATAAATAAAGGATGAGGACTGGATGCTGCAAGATTGTGATTTTACCTGGAAGGCTGCAGAAAGAGCAGGACCATATCCCAAAGTGGTATGGATGTTCTTTACTAGAGTTGGACTTCTGTAGAGACAACCATATAAACACACATTCAGTTCAGTACAGAAACGAGTCATACTGTCTCCAGTCTACTGAACAGATTGATTTTACACTGAAGTCAGTATTTAGAGTACAATCTGATTTCCAATGAAACTCAATAGGAAAATCAATAGACGGCACTAAACTATCAAACGCTGTTTAACACTCTCTCTCTAACTCCGTCCCAAAACTTGCTGCCTACTTGCCTACTTCACTTCCAATGAAAAGGCTGTTCTAAAATAATAATGTTCCAGATGTATTTTTCCCATTCATTTTTCTCAAAAGGATTTTTAAAAAGTCCTTGTTAAAGAGTTAGAGAGCCATGATTCATACCTACCAGCTGCATGGTGAATCACAATATCACAACTTTGAGTTGAAGCAAAAATAAATCAATAAAATAAACTCATAAAATGACAAGGTACAAGTCTGTGTACTTAACAGCGTTAATGAGGGTAAGAACTACAAATATCCTATGTAGACCATAGATAACAAGGAAGCTGGCTAAGTTTTGGAACAGAGTGTGTATATATGTGAATATATCTTTTATTTTTTAACATTGTATATTATTATACAATCTCATGAGCATTTCATATATTATGAAAAACAGAAATGAAAAAAAAGCATAAGATATGAAAGGCTACATACAGAATGAGTGAGCACATAGAGGCAGAGCATGCAGGGAGGGGGCGGGGCAGAGGGCGGTGCTTACTGTACAAGCAGCTCATCACAGCTTTCGTCGGCCGCATTCTTCCTGGGGCGGCCTCGTTGTATGTGGCGACCGCGTTTAAACTCTTCATCGTCTACGGTCCAAAAGGACCCAAAGTCATCCTCAACTCTTACAAAACATTTATGCAGGGAGAGATTGGTGCGCACGGCACCCTGGGTTTGGGGATAGGGGCAACAAACAGCCAGATGCAGATGTAGCAAGACAGACAGACAGTGATAGAGAAGAGGATATGAAATGAATGAATGGATAAGCACAAGCGACTGGGGGTTACGGTGCACATAGCCAGCACATAACTCACATTCGGGCACAGAGACGCACGCTAAAGCTAGCAGGGGGGTCAATGGGCAGCACAGCACAGAGACAATGACATGGAGCCCATCCATCAACACCACGAGACACTGGTTTGGTCAGCCACACTACGCGGGTGGTGCTGGAACACCTACCCGCTGATCTTTTGCGGCCTTCTCCTTTGGAACTCTAGCTCGTCGACGGTCCATACCGCCCCTTTAACGTTCTCTACCCGCACAAAACACTTGTGAAGACTAAGGTTATGTCGCACTGCGTTCTGCAGTTGGTGTGAGAGAAAAAGAAAGGCTATGAGTGCAAAAAGAAATGTGCTGGAATAAATTAGACACTTTTTTTATAGAACCCACATTCTCTTGTATTGTTCAATTTTATACATTTCGCTCAAAGTCCAATTCAAAAGGAGATATTTTATTTAACAGAAATCACTTTTCAAAAACTACAACGAACGACTCGTTTGGACTACAACGCATATTTTCCGGGATTTGTGATATCACAAATATCGACGAATGGGACGAGACCTGGTTGAGCTGCACTAGAGAAGGCAACGAGTGTTATCACTATGTCAGAGACGCGCTAGCTTTCCCAAGGCAGACAAACTTATAGTGGTTACAATCATTCGGCTTTAAATTGCGCTCAAATTGTTTTGATATTGACGCAATATTTACACTGAAGCTATGGTAAGGGGCATGACATTTCCCGACCAGGAGCCGAGTGCTGCCAATCACAACACACACTGGCCCAGCTAACCAATCACAGCACATTTTGTATTTCAGAAGGCGGGCTTTCATTTGATACAGGAACTATTCGAGCCGTTCATGCCAGACTGGGGAGAAAGGTGTTGTAATAATGTATAATATGTGAAAAATAATGTGTTTTTCGAACAACCTAGTATGAGAGCCTGTTCTAGTACAACCCTCAAACAAAATCAAGACTCTGTAAAAGAGCATAATAGGACCCCTTTAAAAAATGAAAGTTCTGTCATCGTTTACTCATGATTTTAGATGTTTTACAGAATGCCTGGCTGTCAATGGCACCAAACAGCACTGATTATCACACGTCTCATAATAATCACAATGTGGAGTTTGAAATTTGACAGCTAAGACGGGAAGGCAATTAAGACTTAAATATGGTCTGCTTGTCACACAAGCCTATTATATAGCTTCAGACTTTTATGGCATTTATTTAGAGTTTGAAAAAGCAGCAAGGACATTCTTCAAAACCTTTCCTTTTGTGTTCTATGAAGAAATAATGTCATACAGGTTTGGAACGACATAATGGTGAGTAAATGATGACTGAGAATTTTCATAAAATGAATGAGAATTTTCATTTCTGAGTGAATTATTATTTTAAGGATTTGAAAGAATTCCACTGTTTTCCAATAAAATTATCTAAACATCCTTAAAACAAGATAAATTCACCTGAAAAGCAACATATTAAACATTATTTTCAGACAATATTTCAAATAACAAGTCTTTTTGCACAGTTTTATTCGATTTTTTAAAGTTAGATCTTATGTAATATACACTATCATTGAAAATTTTAGGTCAATAAAATGATACTTTTATTCAGCAGTGATGCATTAAATTAATTTAAAATGTGAGTAAAAACATTTATAATGTTACAAAAGATTTCTATTTCAAATAAATTCTGCTCTTTTGAACTTTCTATGTATCAATCCTGAAAAAAAAAAATGTTTCTTGAGCACCAAAGCAGCATATCAGAATGATTTCTGAAGAATCATGAGACACTGAAGACTGGAGTAATGATGCTGAAAATTCAGCTTTGCCATCACTGTGATAATTTACATTTTAAATAGAAAACAGTTGTTTTAAATTGTAACAATATTTCACAATTACTGTTTTTGCTCTATTTTGATCAAATAAACACAGCCTTAGTGAGCATAAGAAACTTTTGAATGGTAGTGCATAATGTTTTTTTTTGTAGTTGATATTTCATATAGTTGCTTCACTTCAAAAACGGAAACTGAAAATGCTTGAGTTAAATGTCAACGCTCAACAAACTACCAGGGGAAAACATCCTAGATTTCCCTTTAAAGCTGTTGAAATTCTTCCAGAGTAAACCGAAAAACACTTTCACAATAAATCCAAATGAAGAGGGAGGCTCTTCCAGAAACTTCTAAGGACCATTAAGTGAAATAAATCATATCTGGGGAAATAATGCATACTTTCTCTGGGTAATTTGAACATGTTGACAAAATCCCATTGGGCAAAATAGCATAAATTACACCAATTTTTACATGGTTTCTATTTGTATCTCTGGTGTCATTTGGAATAATTAATTTTTTTAAACAATGTTCATTATGTTATGATATCTTAATATCTGGGAACAGAAATATGTTTGTCAGTAGTAGTTTGTTTAAAGAACTAAAATATACAGTGGCGTCTAAAAGTCTCAGAACACAAGTGAAAATGTTTTGCATTATAATTTGATCTAATTTCCTTATTTTTAAATTGCAACAATATTTGTCTCGAATGTGCTTTGATTTGTAACTTTTAAACCTTATTCTTCTTTTTTTTCCCATGTATCTTGTTCTTACATTTTTTTCTTTTCAAAGTTCTAAAACTTAATTTCTAGGTTTAAACTAGATTTTAAATCCCAGATCTATAATGTAGTCTCAGACTGGAACCCACTGTATTTCCCTTATTCATATATGCTTGTCATGAGCTCAGAAGTGTGTGGTACAATAAGAGAGGTGTGCACTGAATTCTGGGGGTGGTTTTCTACTTCTAGGAGTTATTGTAAACCCAACAGTTCCTCCATACATCTTCAACAATCCAGTTTTTTTTTTTAGTCTTCTACTTCATTTGATGTTTTTTATTGTCAACTACTGAGAAATTTCAAATAGAGGCAATGATTTCAAATTCATTGTATATTATTGAAAGCAGGAAATAGAAAACAGGAATTATGAGTTCACCTTCCACGTTGCTGCATTGTGTCTGAAATATGCAAACATTCGCGTGAACCAGTTGTAGATCTCGTTTAGTGTTAGCTGTTTTTCTGGCGACTCTAGTATTGCCTGGAAACACACACACACACACACACACACACACACACACACACAAATGCTGATAAGTAAAAAGCAGTTCCATTTCCGTTCAAACCTGGAGCAAAAACAAAGTGAGATGTACATGGTTTGTCAAGTTAAAGTTGATCTGAGGGTGCATGTAAAACAGCTCCACGCTTTTCCGTTCTCAAATGGGAGCTACTTTGTTTACTGATCGCTTCCTTATGCAAATGTGCCAATCTGAGTACATCCTTTTCCGCTAAATGACTAGAACAAAAAATTATCCCGGGCCCAGATTAATGCCCGTGTGATCACAGATTACCCGTTCAGGCCTGATAATTGACTGGGCATCTCAAAGACACCCCGTTCCTACTGTTGTGTGAAATGAATTCCGTAATAATCACATTGGCTGTAATACTTAATCAAAAGTAATTGTTATATATGGGCGTTTTTTGCCCCCTCTATGAACAGCAAGTGCTCTCACGCTTATTTGCAGATGGCTAATCTTGAGCTCTGCTGTTAAATTGCATCTGAAATTTTACGGCTTTGATGGTGGGGGTTTATGGGTTTGTCTTTAAAGAAGTTTGTTAACGCTGAATATTTATACTGCATACATATCGTTATATGCAAGTAAAATCTAAAGTGTAGATGCTCAATTACAATGCAGTAGGTGAGTTAAATATATCACGCAAAAGTGGCTGCGGTCTTACCTGTCGTATTAGCGAAGCATATGTGAAAGGAGGTCGTACTTCAGCATTCATGTAGAACTCTTTGTTCTGGACAATATCTGTTCACAAAGACCAGACACAAATATTAAAAAATGAACTGAAACCTGGTCACACTTTGCATTACATTGAAGACACCATATAGTGCAAATTGTAACAAAAAAAAACAACAAAAAAAAAACATAAGACCTCAAGCTATGTTCCATATAAAAGGCAAAGAAACATATGGGCAAATTAAGAATCAAATTCTGCACCAGAAAAAAATAAAGAAAATCACATTTTCATTACTCAGTTAAAATATAAAATAAAATAAATAAATAATGATATGCTATTTTGAATTCTGTTATGTTACAGTAATGAGAATTTTGGGGGAAAAAATGTATTTACTTACCATGAAAATAATGCAAAAAATAATAAAATATTTATATTTATAATAAAAGCTTTCTCCAAAACTTACATTTAATATAGATGTTAAATTGAAAGTATTATTTCAATTAATTACATTTATTTATTTACTTATTTCTATTTTAGGGTGAAATGCGACCTGCACATATTTTTGTAAGATTTACCCACTGATCCTGATGATTCAATGTATTGTATGTCACAATGAAGCTTCCAAGCAGTCTGTCTGTACCTGGAGATATGGGCATGTTGTACTTGTCCGAGTAACGTCTGCGCATGGTACCGACACTGTGCAGGCTGGTGGGGGTGATAACGGAGTGGGTTTGTGAGAGCGGCGTGAGGGGGGCCGTTGGGGTGGTGGGCGTTTGGGGTAAGCTGAGGGGCGGCGAAGCCTCAGGAGCCGTCTTGGACAGGGTGATGTTAGAGACCAGGTTCAGCTGAAAAGAACAGAATGAAAACAGGGCACAGCATTGTTAGTCACCGCTGATGCCTGCGGATGCTAATTGTTAACACACCATCCAATCAATCTTTGCACCGCAGAGGAGCATTGGTGGCATGTTGGTTTGTAAATATTTGTAAGCACCATGCTTTCGCTTTCCGCGCCCATCATTCTGTGAGCAAATAGCGTACATCCCCCTGGTCGCCCTTTTGTTTGGTCTGCTGGCGTGCTCCCAGAATGCTTTGCTCACTCTCTTTGCTCTCAGGCGGCAGTAGCATTCTCGCTGGCTTGATGGAATGAGTTTCTCACCAAGCCCTAAGAGGTTCCTAATAAGCTGCAGACACAGAGAGGTCAATCTACACTAATTACAGGCTCAAATTGTATTGTAAGGACCCTAATTAGTCGCTACTTACGGGGGTGATACTACGATTAAACGTCACATCTGAATGACCCTCATCAGCCCAAAGGTTCGGAATAAGATGGTTCTTCTGGAGAAATAGTTTCCAGAGAAACACTTTCTTCCTCCCTTATCAAGTGGCACGAGGAGGGGGACTAGTAATAATGGCTATAAGGTAAACTAATTAACCAGCGGGTTAGTTAAGGTGCATTCTTGCTTCCAGAAGCTACGTTGAGTCGTCAGTGTCACATTTCCTCTTCTGCTGGAGTGGAAAATGCAAGCCTGACCTGACGATCCTGCTATTAATTTGTAGGAGATGAGAAAAAAAACCTAATGACACATATACATATTTCCCCCACCAAATTGTTTTAATTGCTAATTTGCCAATCTGCGGTCTACGAGGAGGGAGACCATGCGACAAATACAAGGACAAACAGAGAGGGGGAAAGAAAAAAAACAACGAGAGGGCACGTGGAGGTGGGTTTTTCGTCGTGCGCCACAATCGCCCACAGATTGGGTGAGTGAATTAATGAAATGTCAAGGCTGTCAATTGCTTTGGAGGTATCAGATGTCTAATTTTGCTCTATAATGGCACCGCTGACAGTGCAGACGAGCGACGAGGCTGTGAAAACCAACAGACAGTGTTTAACATCTAACCCCCCGCCACACGGATACGTCTCAGGCCATGCAATTACCACACACCCTATTAACGGTCATTACCATACAGATGCTCTGTCTGATAGACAGGTACATAATAAAGAAATTTGAGGACTGACAGAAGCTTCATCCTTGACATGCCATTGTCTTCAATGCCTATCTAACCTTTTTTCACTTTTTTGTTGTTAATTGGTTTCTGGTGCTATAAATTTATATTATAAAACAGTTTTGGTCCTAGATGCTGAATGGTCAATATAGAGATCCAGCTATGCTAAAATACACCATATAGTACCAGTTATGACACTACTGTGTAAATCAATGCACTGCCTTGGGGATTATAGAAAATAAAATTTTTAAGAAAAATTGTAGATTTAAATGTTTTAAAATATTTTTATTAAGAAGGCAAAGGAGTTGTTTGCCATTGACTTTAAATTTTTCTTGTTAAAGAAAATGCAGTAAGAAATGTGAAAAAAGTGCTACACATTCAAATTATTTTGAAGTTATCATTGTAAAATTAAATAAAAGCTTCTAATAATAAAGCATACAGCACACACACAAAACAATAACAGCACCTCATAAAAAGTAGTTTATTTGTAGGTGTCCTCTCCATTTCAAGCTGCTTCCCCTCAATCCCATGGGAAGAGGTAGCAGGCTAACAACATTATCAGTATCTGAGACCAATTTTCATACACAAGCGTCACTGTGTCAGATACCTCTGTACAAATGCTAATCCAAACAATCAGCGTGTGACAAAGGCAAAGCTCCACTGAATGAACTACTGTCACCCGCTGTCCCAGGACAACAGCTCTGGGCTCCTGAGCACCATGGGGCAAGTACTTCCATATGTTTTAGTATGTAAAGTGTGCAAGTATTATATTAGGACTAACAACTAACCTTTCCTTTTATCATTTAACATTTTAAGTTTATATATGAAGAGTTCATTTGCAAAAACCGATAAACGCCACTTTAAAAAAAAATTTGCTGATTGCCGTGCATTTAGTTTGATTGATATTACTTGGAATGCGCAATAAAAAAAAAATTGATTTCTGAAAATAAAAATAAAAATTGAGTTTTGCAAATTTTTTGCAAATGAACTCTTCATATATAAAATTTTTTTTTTTTACATTCCTTGCCAAGTTTTTTTTTAGACAAGAAAAGTCGTAAGTGAATAAAAAACAACTCACATGTGTGACATGCACAGATGCACACTCTAAAACTCCACCAGAAAAAGCATATCATCTATGCACATTTGGCATACTATTTACAACATACTATCAGTTGGTGTGCACTAATTATAATCACATATGCTATTTACAGACAGTATGCAAATTGGGACATGAGTTGATGCTGAGATGTCAAGGGTGCTATACTCACTGGCTGTGGGGCAGGTTTGGGCTCTGTAGACTTCACATGAAGATGAGTCATCATTGCTTGGAGACGCTGTTTGTCTTTCGTTAACTTTAAATAGAAAAACAGGAAAAAACATATAAACTACAATAAAAATGAAAAAAGATTCAGACCTTTTTTACTTGCATTGTAGTGCAATATTCTCTCAGTTATCAGTAAAATAAATAACCCATTGTGGAAGGACAACTGACAAACATGATGATTATTCTTGACATACATGTACTCAAATTGTGACCTTTACACTTGATACAGAGACACAACCCTAAAGGTTTATTAGCCACTAAAAATGAACACACAAGCTCTAGCCTTCAGTCATGGTTACTTCAGCCAAAGTGAATCCACATTGAACATTAGAAGACCTCCCTGACCTCCACACACTCTGATCTGGGCTGCATTACCCAATAACATCGTAAGCCTAAGCAGATCATAGAAACCATTGGCAGCAATGATCTCTACGATCTACTTAGGCTTATGATGATTTTGGGGAAATGCAGCCCAGTTCTACTCCTCTCAGCTGGTACTTCTGAATCTATATGTGTGGCCCTCTTTGCTCTCTGCTTTGGTACAGTATTCAAGAAAAACGTATTGGCATCATGACGTACTATCAAGCATTGGAATAGAGCATAAATGGCTAATGAATGGACAGATGAGCATGCATATAGATCATTGCACTTTGATGCCTGGGGTGAATTCTTCCAGCATAAATAAAGGTGTTGCACACATTAAGAAATGAAAATATTGATCAAAAATATTGAGCTGTATTTGACGTCATATTGCTAGCATGAGCACCACAGTTCAATGTGTTAACCACTGCACAATAACTCTGGCACTTTTTAATGCTCTGTGCCTGAATCTAAGAGTATATCTATCTCCCTTCTCCTCTTAAAACCAAAACTTCTCATTAATTTTCCATACATCCCCACCTCTGTAATGCCAATCAGTGAGCATTTGTTACGATTAATGCGCATTAGCAAGCGATGCAATACAATAAACAAAATGAGTCAATCAATTCACTGAAATGACTGGTAGCTCACCCACCATTGTTGGTGTGCCTGGATTTTTTCACAAAGTGTTATATTGTGGTGCCAAATAGTTAAAAGTCATAAAAGACTTTAAAACCCAGTAAAATTGGAAATGTAATTATCTTGTGGAGTTAGCCCCAGGGCACTCCATATATCTTTGCCTGGCTGTCATGCGAACATAACACATTTTTAATGACTGGTTACTCACAAATGTACAAAATAATTTCATTTTTATCCCTCCCTCCTTCATCTCTGAGCTGCTACTTGAGAGTAAATGAGCGAGAGAGAGAGAGAGAGAGAGAGAGAGAGAGAGAGACAGACAAGAAGCAAACTTTTGAAGAAGCCAGAAAAGGAAATGAACGAGGAGAAATTGCACGTTACCTGCAGTTCCAGCTGTTGAACTACTTGCATCTGTACCCTGCACTGCGCCGTGCTCCTGTCATCCAAGGCATGTTCATTATTCAGATGTCTACAGAGAGAGAAAGAGAGAGAGAGCAGCCTTCATTTTAGTACCATATTTTACAGCCATCTATTAAACATTTGATAAAACTTTCATGGTAAAATATTGAATTACATTATCTGCACATTCTGCAGGGCAGTCATTTATTTCTCCATATTGGAAAAGTGAAAATGGCCCGAGATACGCATATACTAAAATGATAAAAAGTAAATAAAGCCAATGTCCACACATTCACAAATATCAAATTCCCCAAACACAAATGAAGAGTGTTCTAACAAGATCTCTGCATTACCGGAAATAGAAGCGCTCTTTACACGCCTCATGCATAATTCACGAACTGCCCGATTCCACGCAAACCTACAGAAACCAAGTTGAGCAGACGAAAGAAGCGCTTCGCCAAACTCAGGTGAAAAAACGATATTATAAATCGTCAGATGTGCACTCCGCAACCCTCCCAGCTTTTAAAATTAAATGGATTCTTCTTATTTTCGGTGGCTTCTGCAGTTAATTATGTCATCTAGATTAAGAGAACTCAAATGAAGCCAGAAGGAAAAAGGCAAAGGACAACAAGGAGAAAAGAGATGGAATCTGTCATAAACTTGAATTATGAATATAATTATGCATGATTATTTTATATGGCCAAGACCTTTTTTCTCCCCCGCACGTTTATAACTAATCTAAATAAATAGCTGGCCTCGGCAAAGCGGGCCAAGCTTTCTTTTTCTTTTTTTTTTTACCTCTCCTTTTTTTTGTGGTGATTTATATAAAATGGTGGAGATAAGACTCACGAGTGAAGGAAATATGATTGGAGGATTTTTATCAGCCCTCGCATGAATTATGGTTTGAAAATGCTTATGCAGGGGCATTTCATTAATCATTTAATCATAATCCGTGCAGGATGTTTGAACTGATTTCACAAATACCCTTTCATTTCACTACTTCATTATGCCCGCTAATGGATCCAATATATTATATATATCATAAATTATATCGCATCTTCGCTGACCATGTAGGTCACTGTCACCAGGCAGAGGCTGGTGGAACGGAACACTAGCATTTTCCACGTGCTCGTCTTTCCAAATGCACGTTTACAGTCTTCCACCGCAAATCAAAGTGTCGTGCACGGACCTGAGCAGGGGCCGAGACAAGGGGAGCCAGAACTGATGTTGATGGCCTAATAAATTTGGCGAGGTGGCGTGACATGATGGCAGCGGCGCCATTATTAAGAATAAAGACAACATACGAGCACGGCTGAAAATACATGTGGGGAATACACACTCGACAACACTCGTGACAGAGAGCAGTTTTGACTTCGGAAGTGGAGCACTCAACCTTGAAAGGGAAATGACCTAAATGTGTGTCAAAACGGACTCTGTTTGCTTTCAGAATGAGCATATAAATACCACGTGTCTTTTTGAACGTTGGCACAGCGTGAACGCACCTTTTAAGTTATTCTGAATTGATTGCTTCGTAAAAATAACACAAGGATTAGGGATGGCGAGTGTTTTAACATGGCCACGATACATCCACACCTTGTTTAAAACTATATTGTGTCTGTTCTGGATTCCAACATTAATCAACTAAAAACAAGCTGCTTTTGAAGTCAGGGAAGGTTGAAGAGGGATCATATAAACATTTCAAAGCAACCACCCAGTTTTCATTTGTGGAGAGATAAAATAGGTACAGGGCATCTTGCATTTTCAGTGAACGCGGCTGGACGTGACATGCTTTGGAATTCGTAGTTCACGGCACCCTGCGAGCCCCCGCTACCTTTTTTCATCCTTTGTTACAGTGGACGTTTCTCTTTTTTTCCCCGTCCTCTCCTCCGTTCCGTCTAATGACATGTAGAGTCACAGTGCATAATTAATAGGAAATTAAATATTCAAATGGCCCTTAATGCAGCCTCTCGGAAGAGTGTCTGGACAAGAGGAGCTCCGGAGAACGGCAGAATTGACGTCGGGAGAGACTATGAGCACTGGCATGTGTCACTTTCTGGACTTCAAACGAAGGCTGTTTAAAAGCTTTCTGGCAGGATGACAGCCCCTAATGTAAATGGCCACAATAAAACAAGTTAAATAGACATTACTTAAACAGTCAGCATTTTACATATCACTGAAGCTAGCTGTCCTTTAGCCCAGGTTTTAATGATGCTCTGGGAGGCTGACGCTCTGAAAGGTCTTTCTATTAGAGCGACGGCTGGACGAGCTATTGTTTCTCCCAAACACATGCAGCGGTTTCAATAGCTAAGCATCCGTCAGTTTTTCCTTATCTTCTCACACTGCGTAAAAGAATTATGCTTATCTACTGATTTTGTTTACTCATACTGCTTGTGTTTGATGGGTAAACACACTTTCCAGGATGGGAAATACAACACACATGTTTGTGACAAGTAATCGTAAGCAGAAACCAGTTCTAAGACTAATACTGTTGAAACTGAATTTACAAAGTAATGTGAATTAAAAAAAAAGATAAATACTGAAACTCACACACAGGATGTGTCCTATTGCATCTAGATGGCAGCACTACTGAGTTTGACCATTCAAATATACCAGGTCATGGATGCCCTTGACCTCTTGTAAAAGCGTCCTGAGCTGTTCTCTAAACCTTTGCCCCACCCTTCCTGTCCCACTGGAAAAACACACATCGGTTTATCACCGCTTCCTTTTTTATTTATTGGAAATGTTATCATCCAGCATGACTAGGTATGAGATGTTTTCATTTAAAGACATAACAAATACCCGTATGATTTAAAACAACACCGCTGCACATCACTGGTTGTTGCCTTTGGCTCAGCCTGCAGAGATCCATGTGACGTTAGTGCGCATCTCTCACCGTTCCTTGCCACGTCGCCCCAGGCACCCGTCTTTAGCTACCCAGAAAACTCTTATAATCCAGCTAATTTACTCCCTGATTTCTGTTTATGGTTCTTCGGGCCCATCGGGTGGAGGATGTACATGTGGGAATGTTTAGCGCATGGACGGTTAACACCTTCAGCCTGCCAGCTGAACTCTCACCCAGCCTCGCTTTTTACAAAAGCGGCTTTGTAGAGAGTCTCCAAATGTTTTCTCAACATGTTCCAAGCAGTTTAGGGCAGACAAGAAAAGTAAACAAGATGTTGCCATGATAAAAACACTTGTGTAAACACTGCAGAGTGTACTTAAAGAGAGCACTTCTCTCTCACTCTCGCTCTCAAGCTTGATTTCAGCTCTGAAATGCTAATTTCTCTTATTTCAATAAGCAAATGATGAATCATGGTTTTGGCCAATAGAAAAAAGGCAACAACGTGAACCACAATCCAAAAACATACCGTAACAGATGCGTGGTTTAGAAAAAACAGGGCAGCAAAATTTCTTTCTAAGCTCTCGGTGGAGAGCGAATACACTTCTTTACATTTTTCTCCACAGGTAAACACAGATTCGAGATAGATAATGTTATTATCTGTAAAAGTGTTTACAGAGCCTGGGCTGGTTTTAAAAATGCCTTCAAATAAACTGGCAAGAGAAGCACATGAGCAACGACCCTAAGAGAAACAGAGGTGGAAAATAATAAAAAAAAGCACACAAGACTGAAAAAAATGGTAGGAGTGCAGCTGTAGTTCTGCTTACCACTCGTTTTTCTCCTTTTGGTCTCAGCTTGTGAATCTTTGAGTCGGGCTTGTTTTAGTTTGAACTCAGGATAATGGAACAGTGTCATATCTTGTTTAGAGTGGGACTAATCCAGACTGACACACACTCACTGATCTGCTGCCACACAGCACGTTTTCATCATCTCATCACACACACACACACACACACACACACACACACACACATACATAGTGGAGATTAAGTGAGACCAGGTCTTCCTCAGAGCAGGGATCAGGGGAAATGCTGTGTAAACTGTGCACCTTTAGCCTGACCTTGGGTTTAGGTGTTATTTAGGGAGCGTGGAGCTTTGTGTTGGCCAGTATAGACTGGACTTTAACAGCATGGACGGGTCAGTTAATACATAGTGGGCAGGTGAACAGACACTGGTTGTAGGTAAAACCATTGCAACAGTAGGAGCTGTGGTGCAGTGGTTAGCGCACATGCTTAAAAAAAAAACAGTGGCGCTTGTCTGGGTGATGCAGATCGAATTTGGCCTACCCCAGATCTCTACTATATGTCACATAAAAAAACTCAGACAAAATAAAAGAAATAAAAATTAGAAACTTTATGTTTTTGAGTTTATGCTCACCAAGGCTTCATTTATTTGATCAAAAATACAGTAAAAATAGTAATATTGTGAAATATTATTGCAATTTAAAATAACTGTTTTCCAATTTAATATTTTTTAAAATGTAATTTATTCCTGTGATGGCAAAGCTGAATTTTCAGAAGCCATTACTCCAGTCTTCAGTGTTGTATGAGCCTTCAGAATTGATTCTAATATGCTTATTTGCTGCTTATTATCATTGTTTTGCTGCTTCATATTTTTGTGGAAACTGTAATTCAAAAGAAAGTTCAAAAGAAAAGCATTTAATTGAAATAGATCTTTAGTAATCTTCTTTAATCTGTAGCATTATAAATGTCTTTACTGTCACTTTTGACAAAAAAAACCCCAAAAAATTTCTTTAAAAGAATCTTACAGACCCCAAAATTTTAGTGTGCATAACAACACAACACAAAACCTCTCAATAAACTAATTTAAAATGTGAAACGTATGTGATAAGTCATTTAGATGAGTGATTGGCACAACTCATTCCCACAATTTCTGTATGTTGCAGGTGGTTTCTGGGTGTTGATATGTGGCTGCTAGGGGGTTCTGGGCTTTTGTTTGATGGATGCTTACTAGCCCATGTCAAAAAGTTTGTTCAAATGCCTAAACCTTCAATATGAGCAATATTAATAGCAAGCACCAATGATATGTTTCTAAAAGCAAGAAGAGAGAGACTCAGACAGAGAGAGGGGGAAAGAACTAGAAGATCACTTCTTCTTGTCTGTAAAAAGGCAGACAAGGGCAAACCCGCTGTACTCTCAGAATGTGGGCCACCGTAGATAAACATACCCACGTGTTTGTTTTGGGACAAAGTGTCAGTAATCACCATGGGGACTGCAGTTATCGCAGGCAGCACAGAACCCTGAGGAAAACCACACCACAGAGAGCAGGCAAAGAGCAGCACACCGCACACCCACGTCAAGAACCCAGCCCACACAGAGAGAGGAAAAAAACCAGGAAAGGGAATGAAAAAATACTGTAATGGGACACTAGGTTGATTTTTTATAAGACCAGAAATGTGCACAGGATTCCATGTGGAATTTTATATGGACTTGCAGTATGATTTAGAAATAATCCCAATGGATCCAAAATTTTCTCATAGGATTCCAACATTACACAAATTCCAACATTACACAAACAAAAAATATTCTAATTTAAAATTAAAAGAGTAGGATCCTTGAGAACACATTAGTTCTTAGTCCCAATTTTAATTTTATCCTGCTGGTAATCTTAATAGTTTAACAGGGGAACTGTATGTTCTTGCATGTATAAGCTTTAGCTTTAGTTTTAGTTAGAATCCTATATGAGAAAAAAAAAATCTAATCAGCAGCCTTTAAAATTGGTTCCAAATTGTAATTCCATATACAATTCCAAAAGAATATTTCCAAATGGAATTCTGTAAACAAAATTCCTTTTTTTTAATTACAGGTGTGGGTGTGTGTGTGAGATACTTACTTCAGGAATGAATGAAAGTCTTCAAACACGGCTTCACATCCTGGCCATTTGCAGACTCCGTGACCATAGAGAGGGTGACTGTGAGGAGAATGATCATCCAACGTTGATCTACAAGAAGAAAAGACACATTAGTGTGATATCAAGGCTGCTAATATTTGATACACAACATATTCACGCATGACAACTAATAAAGAAACCTTCCCCTTCAGCACAAAAAACCATTGCAGCTTGTTGTTTTATTGACACAGCACTGACTCTCACATGACCACTGACTTCTACAGGAAGTGTGTGATCAGCGCAACCATGTGATCTCTGCTTTCAGCATAGCTGAAGTTGTCAGCCTATTGCAGCCTCTGAGCTTCCCGGTGCTGGCCAATCAATAGCCAATTATGGGTCTCCTCTGATGCGCACAGAGGAATGCTTTGATCAGGGCAGCACGATGCTCTGAGAGACAGCACGTCCTTTAGCCCTGACCACTGAACCGTGGCCCCTGCCATCCACCTGGAGCAACAAGTGTTTCCCACAACAGGAAGCTCCCAAATCCATCTGGCCTACTCCCGCCAAGCGCAAACAGTAAACACACCCCACCTGTTATCAATTTATTCGCTTGCACAGGGTCGTCAACAGCTCAGTGCAGCATGCTTTCATATGAACTACACCGCAGGCACAAGAAAGCTTAGCAGCGAAGATCCACCTATTTTTTTTTTCTCAATTTCAGAAGTGTTGTTTTATCTGCAGAAGGAAATGCAGTGGCATTTGTTAAATTTAATATATAGCTGAATTAATATAACATAAAGCTTAGACCTATTCAGACAGAAAACTCTCAATAGCTGCAATTATCAGGATTTAACAAAAAAAAGCAGATTATGTTTTTACGCAACACAAACACCACACACACAGACACACACACACACACACACACACACGCACGCACGCACACACACACCTTTAACAAAATAGGTGTAAAACATGTTTTATCAATGCAATGAAATAGAAAAAAAGACAAAATATGCCAATTTCAAGACAATAATCTTATAACAGTTATATTTTCTGATGTAAAATATTAAGATGTGCCAAAAAATCTATTAAAAGCTCATATAAACTAAATAAACATAAGCATGAACATATTAAGGCAACCATTTTCAATTTTGATAAAAATATATGTTGAATTTTTTACTGTTTCCTTTTAAACAAGAAACATGTCGTGCACCATTACTTGTTTTAATTAATTCCAAGATGATGTAGGCTATAGATATATAAATATGAGTTGAGTTGTGAAAAGCTTAAAGGCCTGTGGATTCAGAAAACAAAGCTCATTTTGAACAATGGATGACTAAACGGTTTTAAATGACAACTCAGAGGAAGACTGACAGACACCATAGGCTTTCTTTCTATACTGACCTCATTCATTCCGTACAAAAAAACAACAAATACAAAGAGTCAAAGCTTGTCAGTGATCTTGTCTGTCTGTTGAAGTGTGTAAGTGTGGTAACTTCTCCAGTTCTTTATTTAAAAATAAGACAAACACAAGAAGACAGACTTGAATATAAACTTAAATTATAGTTTAACAAGCAAAAAGGTGCCATCTGCTTTGCATTCAAGGTTAAAAGTAAAAAGAGGCAATAAATTAATAATTAAAAAAAGTCCCAGCGCATCAAAAACACCACCACATGTGCATTTATATCCTTCATCGGCTCTTACAGCAACAGCCTAAATGCTTTCCTGTGAGGCAGCTCGGCTCTGTCCTATCATCTTTCATTACATTATGGTTTAGGATCGTACTATCATGCACTGAGCAAATAAGTATCATCGTAGCCAACCTAACGAAGAAGGAGAGAGGTCTGACGTCTGGAGAGCTCAGACAGTAACTGAGCACTTTGTCACAACACTATTACTCTAACTCACGTCTTCATGTGGGGAGAAATCATCAAAGACACACTCCTCCTCTAAGTCTACTGGCAAAATCCCCGGACCCCTGACTCAATCCTCTACAGTATGCCCAACCAAACATCCCCTCCCAACCCCCCAATGTTTTAATTATCATTTGCAGAGTTGAAGATCAATTAAAAGGGAGGTTACGGGCCTCGTTTAGGGGGGCAAATCTGATTATTTATCTCTTTAAAACGAATTGTCTGGGTTTTAATTCCCCTGAGTGCAGCATTCCTAAATGATTCTGGGAGGAGAATGAAGTGAGGCGACTCAAACAGACTGACACTCTTTCCCTTCCAATGAAGAGAACTGAAAATGCTGAAATGGAAGCCATCTGTATATTTTTTAAACCCGTCCCAGACCCTGAAAAAAAAATAAAAAAAATAAATGAGGTATTGGCCTGTTGGGCTTTGGTCAGATAGCACACACCTAATTTCCAATCACCTTAGAAAGGTTCACACAGGTTCATGAGTGCTTTTTGTCCCTTATCTGAGCACCGATGGGTCGGGTGGACTGACACGTCGAAGGCTTTTATCATATTTGGGTGTGCATGTGGTAGTTGTCTCTGTGCAGGCACCAGTGGGAGCCGATGGAGGCTGCTAAAAGCAGGGAAGCATCGTGTCTAAACATGCACGAAGTGATTGAGTTTCTCTCTCCTTCCTTTAAGACGGAAGTGAAAAGACAGTGAATGATGCCGCTGGATGCACTTAAGGTTTTAGTTGCAGGCGTCGCAGCGACTGGCCAGATTTTATATGACACATGAAACGGCCTGCACGGTGCTTAAGACCCCGGCGGTAAACCAATCTGAGAGAGCTAGGGCAGAGTCCATCAGTGCACAGCCGCCCGCATGTTTCACGACAAGAGGGACTTGGGAAAACCGCATCAATTAAAAGTTCATTAACGTTTGTGTGCAATGATGACATTTCATTTCTTCCACTCAAAACCTTGGATTCCAAGCAACGAAGCTTCTACAGATTAAAAATGTGTTACATTTTCTTGGATGCCCTGTAAGGTGTAGTGATGGAGTATGTGTTTGCTAATAAAAGAACACGGATGTTATTGCTACACAGAAAACCATCAAAGCGCCATGTTATTAGCACTGTCTCTCTAATGTGCTTTTGCATGTGAATAGTAATGATTTGGATGCATTTCCAGCACTAATTCCTCAGCTAACGGATGGAAGAGAGAGGGGTGGTCACCTGCTCCCTTTTTCTGACAGATCTGAGATCCTCAGTCAACAAAACGCCTTCTTCACGGCATGGGTGCTAAACTGCTGTTGACATCTTCTTTAATCTCTGACACAGAGCGAGAGGCAGGGAGCGAAGCAGTTAGTTTTCCAACATGTCTTTCTGAGTGTTTCAAGCCTACTATGGCACAAAAGAGTTGTGGTGTTGTGATGGAGTACTAGTTGTTTAAGCACTTTGAGGAAATGGGGTGATAGACTTACAATTCGGGGGAGAGAGGGAGAAAAAGAGCTAGAGAAATAGAATAAAGTGGCTCTGATTAAAAAACTAGTGAGCTGCCTACCTAGACAGCATAATTGGGTGATTATTCAATTAGGGGAACCTTTCTATCCACCAGTATGATTTCAAAGCAAAAGCAAACACTCATTCTAGTTTTAAAGAGTAGATTAGAACAGCTTTCAACCTTTTACAGTGTCTCTTCCCGTAGTGAAAAATAAATATACTAAAATGTATTTGAAATACATTTATTTCATGCTAAGTATACTACAAATACATTTACAAATGTATGTACTTAAAAATACCCTGCAATTGTACTGTACTAAACTTGTATACTTAAAGTCTGCTAAATTGGAACAACTAACTTTGTACTTAATGCACTTTAATTGTATGAAATTAGTGCTAAAGTAGTACTACTGCAAGTATACTTCAGGTACACTTTAAATATCTTGCATTTAAAGACCGATATTATTCAAAGATCATACAATCCTCATCAATAGTGACATTAAATCACATTTTAGGCTTAATATTAAGAAATGTATATTGTGCACAAGTAGTACACTCCAAATAAAGTTTCATTAGAATGTTTATATCAGTAAGTCTCGAGCAATATGTCAGTAAATATGTTAATGGACTTGAACTATACTTAGTATGAAATAAATGTATTTTAAATGTATAACATTTTTTTACTAGGGTTCAATTACATATTCTCCCATCTTCCCCTCAAGTTTCTTTTTATTATCTAAAAAATCAAGTGTTCCTAAATGAAGAATTACTACAAGCTTAGTAGAAAATCCATCCAAAATGAAGGAGAGAAACATTCTTTATAAATGTGTATTTCAATAAATACAGCAAAACATGTATAAAATTAATTCAGTATAAACGAAAACAGATTTTTCAGTCAGTATTGAGTGTAATGAATTTCTGTGCTCAAAGTACAAAGTACTTTACAAAGTACATGCTAACAATCAATAGTGAGTCAAGCCTCTTATGAACTGTTTGAGTGGCACAAATGAATGAAAGAACAAAAGAAAGAAAGAAAGAGTGCCTATTATACCCCACAGCATCAGTGACATCATGGCTATTTTAAATAACCCTTGACATGTTGAACCTGTCATGAACTCCATTCTGCTCTACACTAGTAGAAAAAGTAGCTACACATATACATGAACTCTCCCTTTACCTTCAGCTAGAGCTTGTTTTGCAGCACTAAATGTGTTTTCATTCGCATTGCTTTCATAATGACATGTTGGTTTTGATCAGCCAAATCTAAGTCAGATGTAAAGAGAGAGAGAGACAAATAAATTAGCTCACAGTGCCTGGAGGCTTCGCACCAGCGGTTCAAAAATCATGCCTGAGCACATGAAAACAAGCAAATGTGTTATAAACTAAATTAATCTCTTCCTTAAAGACAGAGCGATGCAATGCTTTCTCCAAATAAATCTTTGTGTCAGAGCTTTAAAGAGGCTTTACAGTGTTTAGCAAAGCTGTGCTGTGTTGTGCAACTGTTACATATAACTGTACTGAATTACCTGCTCTTTATGCACATTCTGCCGCACAAAATGCATTGATTCAGAATAGTTAATTAAAGAATAATTGCTCTGATGACATCTCTGAAGTTTTGTTTAGGATATCATAAATAAGTAAATGAAATGAATTATTAGAAAAATAAAATGAATATAATTTGGAGTTGCCATAATAATGAAAAAGATTTTATTTTCATTACAGTAATCTAACCATTCTAACAGTGCCATTCTCTCAGGTGTTTAACTGGAATTCCCTGATGAACAAGACTAAGCGGACAGGCCCGGTCCTTAATGAAAATGCCAAGGTACTTAGAAGCGATAAATTAATATTCACATGCAGGAAATGCCCTGTGGGTACCTGTCCATCAATTTGAATTTTATCCACCTTCAACAGGGGTAATGATGCCTCAATGATTCCAAGAAGTCAATACAATTGAATATTTAAAAATAATCTCATATGTGTCTCTTCTAGTCTTCAACAGTGTCTCAAACTGTGCTCAGATTTTGCCCAAATACCAAAGTCAGCGATCAAAAGTGAAGAACAAAATTTTCTCCTCCAGTGGCTCAATGTCTGAGCAGTCTTACCCCTCTCTCTTGAGCGAGTGGCTGATGTACAGGCCGTTGGTGGATCCATGCTGGTTGTGGTTTTTGGGGGGAACGGGGGAGGGGGATGACAGGTCCAGACCCCGGTGACCGTTATTGGTCGCGCTGTTCTCCTCCTTCACATGGCTGTTTGTCACCTCCTTCCACAGCTGCTGCAGTTCGGCTGGAATCATGCCTGCCACAAACAAATTGGATAATTAAATCAATTAACAGCTAATCTGGTTCTACTCATGGCATAATTAAATAAAAAACAAGGGCTCAGTAAACAAAAGGGGGGCATTAATTATTCCACTACAAGGGGGGCATTAATTATTCCACTACAGGCTGATACGCGGCGCCTGCCCTCTCGCTCTACGATTCTCTCTCACGCTCGCTCTTTTTCCCCTACGTGCTATGCGAAGCGTGTTTGTGTACAAAAATTCCCTGGCATTCACGCACATTTCATGCTTGAAGTAAATAATTAGCATACAGACAAGGCATGAAATCTGAATAATCACCATTATTTCTCTGACAAGGAAGTCAGCCAGCTCTTTCTCACACACACACAAAACAAGACCACAAAAACATCCCTCTCTGCGAGAGAGAGAGAGGGAGAAAGTGAAAGAACGAACAAGCCCCCAGGGTAATACTCTTGAAAGCATGTTAATGTGCAAAATGCTTAAAGTTTTGCACCGCCTCCAATTGACACAGACGACTTAAACCTCATTTAACAAGTCAAGCACACTGCAGCTCATGCGTCCTTTGAAAAAAAGAGAGAAGATAAGTGGGAAGAAAAATAGCTTGAAGACAAGATGTTGCCTCAATTCTGTGACAGACGCACACAAACACTTACATGCACACCCACATACGCCACGTGTTTCATCTAGCTGACTCTAAGACTAGCACTACCAGGATGAGAATTAGAAGAGCTAACAATGAAATTAGCCTACTTGAGCAGCCATGTTCTTAAAGAACCTCCATCATATTCAGAAGCGTTTGTATTTATTTAAATATTATGACATGATGCTATGCATGTAATACTTTGGGGTCAGTAAGATTTGTTAAAGTTTTGAAAGAAGTCTCTTATGCTCACCAGGGCTGCGTTTATTTGATCAAAAATAATATCAAATTGTGATATAGGGAAAATCTGAACTTTCAGCAGTCATTACTCCAGTAATGAAATCTTCAGAAATCATTCTAAGATGCTGATTTGGTGTTTAAGAAACATTTCTTATTATCAATGTTGAAAACAGTTGTGCTGCTTAATATTTTTTGTGGAAACTGTGATACTTTTTTTCAGGATTCTTTGATGACTTGAAAGTTCAAAAAACAGCATTTATTTGAAACAGACACTTTACTGTCACTTATGATCAATTGAATGTGTCCTTGCTGAATAAAAGTATTAATTTCTTTGACTAAAATCTTAGTGACCCCAAACATTTGAGCAGTACTGTATACTATAAAGATATATACACAAATACATGCATTTGGACAAATCTAAAAAAGATGAATGTTGCCTTCAGCAATAGCGCATAAGAATGGAGCTCTGAATGGAACGCACCCACTGTGTGACTTTACAAAGTCCTTTGTATGTTCTGTAAAATTAAACGGGAAGGGGCTGTTTTGGGCGGTGGGGGATCAATCGCTTAACATCACAATTAAATCGATTTTCGAAATGTGCGAAAGCAAATGGAGAGCAATTTTTGTCTTGGTTATCTTCATTCGTCTCCTTGTTTTCCCTCCCCCCCTCGCTCTCTCATACTCTCTCCTTCATAATAATTCTCTTTACAGATACCAGAAGTGGCCTCTTTCAAGCGCTCCGGCATAATACATTTGTGCAAGAATCGCTTAGTCTTAATTTATTCCTGTTGTGGCAAAATAACGGCGAGGTGAAGATCTCAATACGATCAGCAGAAAATATTTTTAATTTGATAAGCTACTAAAGATTTTAATTATGCCAGTAATGGAGAACAGTAAGCTAATGAGGCGGCTAAGACTCCAGAGAGAGAGAGACAAAGAGACAGAGCGAGAGAGACTAAAAACTGTGAAATGAGTCTGGTAGGACTGCCATAAATTCACACAAGATCGTTTGCATATAAAAGAGCCAGCGGAAATTATTGCAGGACGAATCAATAACCTTCCCACGTGCCACGTTGCTTCCTTGGGCTTTTTTGTGCCGTCTTGCAGTGTTTTTAACGTCCTCATGAAACTCTGACGGCGATGTCCAAAGATATCGACTCGATTGTTTTTTTGTCTTTGCTGTTGTCATTGTGAGGGAGGAAAAACTTGTCCGTGTGGATTCAAGAAGGTCACGCGCTGGTGATTGTTTTTGGGTTTGGACATAGAGGGGAACAATCATTTTCCCCCCACTTGGAGTGCAGTGACAGTGTGCGTGTATTTTTAGCCGACGTGCTTGACAGGGCGGCCCACTCTCCCTCAATTACCCACAAGTCCAGGTGACCCCGACACCACTGTTTACTGAAACAAATCCAAGCCAGAGGGAGGAGGGGGAGCTGATGAGTGGGCTAACAGAGTGGTACAAAGCTGCGTTGTTGTGTCTGACACCCCCCATAAACCTTTTTCCTCTGCAGGTCTGTATCTCGCTCTAAGTCTTGGTTTCCATCCCCCGTCTCTCTCTTTCCCACAGATGTATCTCTCAAAATTGCCTGCATATATCTTCACATGACCTCTCAACCAATCTGGCAAACGTCACAGCATTATCGTCATTTAGTAGCAGATGATGGATGTGACGTTTCACAAATAACACATGGCATTAAAACAGTTCTTTGTCCTTAAATCCGTCTTGCAAACTCCAGATCGCTTTAACAGCCCTAAAGTCATTTTTCAGCGGCGCACATCCTCTCATTAAAAGCCAAAGATACACACTTGCACTTTTAAAAAATGGATGTCATTGAGACGTTTGACTGATCGCCGGCGAAGCAACTCAATTTTTACCGCAGCAGGTAGCGGCGACACCCAGACAGGGGCCCCGAACTCTCGCTTCCACCTTTTCCTGTCCTTGTACCCCGGTACCCTGGTGACCGTGTTCGAGCAAGCGGAAAGTTGATTTAAGGTTCACAACCACATTAGTTGTGGCCCATCAGCAGCCTGATAAAAAATGCCGTCGCGCGCAGGGACCGCGGAAAGCAGCGGCCGCGTCTTCCTCGACGAGACCGCCGCCGCGCCACTGGGGGCAAACTGACACTACTATTAGTTTATTGTTCTGTGAGGCAGAGATCTTCTCTCCCTCCTGTTAAAGGGGTTATGATCACCAGGGCCTTTGATATGCAGCCCTTAGGCCTAAAATATGTTCCTCCCTAATGCTACAGAAGCTATTAAACAGTGCCGTACTGCCAGCCGATCAATCACTGCCAGCGAAGCCGGACGAGGGGCCGGAGTCCCCTGATGGGTCCACGCGCACATCGCGCTTCATGCCTGGTCACATTCACTGCTTTCATATTAGTGGCAAATTTGTCTTGTCGGTGTCCTGTGGCCCTTGACTGGACAACTTAACTAATGTGCGGCTGGGGATGAGAATGAACTCTAGAACTAGAGGGATTCATAACGTGTGTGTAGGAAGGCACAGATTTAGATGAGAGTGGGCTAATAGTGTGGAAGATGAGGGACAAACACACATGCGGCAGCCACGTCAATGCAGACGACCAGGCCTCTTCTGCCTAATTCAATTCTGTTAACAAAAAATTGAGTTCTTCACAAGTGTAATTTACTCAAGAAAATTTCAGATATTAATTCGACGCGTTAAGGAATTTTTCTTTTTCCACCAAATTTCAGCAAAATGCTCAAAAGGTAAATGACAGTGATAAAAAAAAAAAAAAAACGTAAAAAAAGTGTAAAATTTGAAATTAAATAATTATAAAACAATTAACAAGTCACTAAAAATACTTTTTTTTTTGTTACATATAAGTCTAAAAAAACAACAACTTTTTTGTCCCAACTATCATAGGATCCAGAGTGACACCTGTATTTCATTCACACAGAATGATCAGAATGACTATTTAGAGGATTCACACCATATTTAAATATGGTTGTTACTCCCAAAAGTTTGCATTGTGTACGTGGCACAAGAGAAATGGTTTAACTCTACCAAATACGCCTAATCTGTCTGCATTTCTTGAATATTCATCTGTTCTGTTTATTTTCTCACTCTATTACTCAAACTGCTAAGTCCACTGTTTTTTTTTCTTACTGGACCCAGTTTATGATTTTTATCTCCTCCAACACATTGCTACAATTCATAGCAGACTTCAGTTGACCCTCTCCAAAACATTAACGTCAAAAAGTCCAAAAAGTGATCCAACCTCGAATACAACGATCTAAAACACATTGTTTTGATTGAAGTCTCAGATGTCTGCGCCGTGCCAGAGAGCTAGCTTGCATACTTGTAAAAACAGTCTTTTAAATTTAGTAGAAAATGACTGGATGTGCCTGTACATTAAATGTAAAGCTGTGATGTAAAAAGATTTTATTCAAACATCAAAGTCAGAGGGTCTAATAAATAAGCCCATTTCAGCCCATGTCGCTGGCTGAGTAATCTTCCTTAGTAGCTTGCCCAAGCACATAATCACCACGCACACATGAGAAGGTAACATAAGTTATCACACCAATGCTAACTACTTAGTTAACTACTGAATGTTGTAGATTACATCTTGCGAATGGAAAACTGGGCTGCTGGAGCATGAAAGAATGCAGTGAAGTGTGAAAGAAAAAAAAGGTCATCAATAACTTTTAACAGTGAAGCAGAAAATGTGCAGGACACACACACACACAATGACAAGTGTTTTAATCAGGGTATGAAATTACACCCCATTCCAGCCAAATTTGGGCCCAAATTTACCAGCCACTGTGCCAGGCGACATCTCAGACTGACATTTGACAAGAAATGGCACTGCTTAAACACAAAGATGTGCATTTGAAAAAAACTAATTTGATTCTAGTGATGAATAAAGAAAACAAAAGCCTAAATTGAGTCCAAAAATAAATTAAAATGCAAGAGTGGCTAATAAAAGAAGTTTATTTTCTACTCTGTTTCCTAGCACTTAACCACCAATAAGATTCAAGGAATCCTAAAACTATTTACCCAATCAGGCATATCCACTATCTTGGACTAATATTAGACAACCAGGTTCTAAACTAGAAAATACACTGCCAAGCACGCTTATATATGCATACAATATCTCATGTGTTCTGCAGTAGAAAATCAGCACGTGTCCTATCCCATTTTTCATTACTGTCCTCTGATTGGGCCTGGCATGCTTGCAATGTTCCCTGGGTAACGACTGCTCTGAGATGTCATTCAATCACTTGTTGGAGAAAAAAAAAATCATTCTTCGCTAAGATGGCCTCCTGTCTGACACTAGCCTGTGGCTTTGGATCGTAAAGCATCGCCTCGCCCAGCCTCAGGGCAACGTGGGTATGTGGAGTGGCTCAGCTTTCCGACTATGCCCTGATCAAACAATAACAAGACTGAACAAACACAGTTTGTATTCGCGTGTTACCCAAGCACCCACTCCCCAGCCTTTATACGGCCTTATCTTGTTATGGGCTTGTTTGTCTTAGCCTGGAGAGAGTACAGTCAGCTTTCGAAAGAAACAAAAACAAAACCGGTATGAATGCAGTCTTTGTCATTCTGTTGCTGCTCCTTAAGTAAATATGACAAGGAAAATAAAGCAATACACCTCCTGGAAAAACACCTTTTTGACTCACTGACTGTTTGTGAAGTGATTAATCTTTGACTAGTTTAGTGGGTTGAAGTTAGAAAACAATGGTGCTAGTATGTTTAGGGCAGAAGGGGAGCCAACATAAGACAATAGAGTTAAAAGAGAGAAATACTGTATGCATATGTGAAGGACGTGTGGAAATGTAGGAGACATTTTCTGATTCTAAAAGAAAAAAGCAACAGAAACTATAATGTAGAAAGCACATAAAAGCCTATTCTCACCAAGCACAATATTTCCCCTAATTTTGCATGCATCTGTAAAATGTTCAAAAATCAACACTAAGTGCAAAACTTTGTTTAAAAAAAAAGATTTTTTTTTTAAAAAATTCTTTTTCATGTTTGTATTCATATGACCTTTTGATCATTAAATGCCCACCCCCTGAATTTAGCAAAAAATAAATAAATAAATAAATAAAATAAAATAAAGCATACTCCAGGTATGGGAAACATAAAAAAGCCATATCAGGCAAGCAGTGTGATAAGAAGTGATATTTTCTTGGAGGCTGATGAAAATTCATGTTGTAATCATGTGAATAATTTTGTTGAACTTTTCATGCAGTTGTTGTCAGCAATTTCTGTTGCTCTCAGTGTGAAAATCCTCTTAAGGGGAGATGGATGTGTCTGTGCTTACCCTGAGTGAGGGAGTGCAGGGGCAGAGTCTGGTTGGGCTGAATGGACAGCAGCCCTTGTCTCTGCAGGCTCAGGAGATGCTGCTGCTGGAGCTGCTGAACCTGGAGCAGCTGTTGCTGGAACGCCAACTGCTGCGCAGACACCTGCCGAGGGATACGGAGAGAGGATGAGAGGTCTACATATCATCCGCACACTCACAAACAATTATGTCAACACGTGCACAAACATACTTATTTCACTCTGGGCTGCTAAACACACACACACACACAGACACACACAAAAAGGCATGGACAGGTACATTCCCACATTTGCGTCACCTCTTAATTAACGAGGAGTCAGGGAGGCTCATGACAAATAATGAAATGTTGTTAATCATTCCTAATAAGAGCCACAGGATTTTAATTATGGCCATTCATAACTCCGCAAACAACATGTGACTGAAAAGAGCTCTGTAATATTCAGCAGCGTGTAAGTGCAGAGCCAACCAATTGTCTCCTTTGGATAAATCAGGACTGTGAAGTAACAGGGTAACCATGCAATAGGAGGAGAGCTGAGCAGTGTGTGTGTTAATTTTATATATTTTGTGATAAATCTTTTTTATTATATTGCATAAAGTCATTTCTAAGACAAATTACACTTTCATTCAAGGCTATGATTTTTTTTCTTTATAATTTGAAGTGTGCACATCAAGATATTTATGCATAAAATAAACAGGGTCAAATTTGATTTAATGTCTTGAACTGTTAAAAAATTGAACACTTTACAATAAGGTTCAGTGCACTGACGTTTTACATATTAATATTTATTTCATTTTCATAACATATTTTTAATGTTTTTAATAAATATATTTCATTTTTGGGATTCATTAATGCACGCATTAGGCATAGTAAATGTTAATGCCTTAACGCGTGAGATTCCTTAAACATGCTTTTTAACACATTTATTGAATTTGACATTATAACAGTTTCTTTATGTAATTTATCTAGTTGGAATGTTTAACAATTGATTGAACTAACTGATTTTTGAATCATGACATGCATTGCAATGTATATCATATCATTGAGGGAGTTTGTGTTAAGTGTCTTCTTTTGGAGAAAGACGGTAATATATCACTTACTCACATCTGGACAAATGGAATGGAGTTTCGAGAAAAAGGAAAGTGGAATAGGACTGGGGAAATTTTGAGAGGAAAAAGGGGGAGAGTTAGTAAAAGTGGAAGGGAAATAGGGAGAAGAGGGTGTTGAAAGACTGAAGAAGAGGGAGGAATGGGCGAAGGAACTGTTGCGTTGTCAGAACGATAAATTGGAGGAAATTATCTAACATCCCCAATCACCTCTCAGTCAAAACAAATGGACGATGTGTTGGAGATACAGGGCTATTGAACCCTTCCGTTGACCTCTTTCAATGCTAATACTGTTGTTTATGACCTCCTCGATGCATCATAACAATGGCTAAACATCTGCCATAATCACGGCACGGTTCCTCTGAAGGTTTCTGAGGGCCAGAGGTAAAATAAATGGACCCCAAGGGTCACGTGTTTGTGTGTGCGCATGTTTGTTGGTACATTAAAGCGCAAACTAGCTTTGCCAAGCTGTGTGCCGCACCCTCTTCCCAAACACAGGATGCTTTACTTTGTGTTTACTTCTCCAAACAGAAGGCGCACAAAAAAGGTCCCGCAGCACAGCCGTGAACAGGTCAACCTTTAGACCCAGAACAGATCTGAAACAGCCTGATAATGTGCTCGCTCTCTTTTTTTCCTCTCTCATTCATGGTCCACCCATCCTCATCTGCCTGTCAAAGGTCTGTTTCTTTTTCTCTCTCTTTCTCCCCGCTCTAACCCTGATCACGAGGCTTTGGACATACAAATGCTTTAATGTCAATGGTTAGCACAGTGGTAGTAAAACATATGCATGCTGTGGTGCTCCCACAGAGAGGCAGGTTCAGTTCCAGGTCATGTCCTGATCACATTATCCTTGTCTTCTCTTTCATTATCAGGACAATTAAAAGCAAAAAGTCCATGAAAATTGACAGAAAACACCATGCTGACTTTTCTGTAAAATACTGTTTTCAAATAAAATAATGTAAGAGATATCATCTACCTTTAACTTTAAAAGGCTCAAAACCACATGACACAAAATTTAAAACTATTTCAATTGATTTCATTTGGGATTTGATTGGACTGTATTAGAGTATTAGTTTGTGATACAAATTGCATGTTAATAAATTGAACCGCATTATAAAGTGTATTTATATTCATCTGTATGTCCCCATGAAGGAAAGCCTGGGCCACTCTAGATCTTTCTTGGCACACAAGTGTTAACCTAAGTGTTAACGCCGGCCCGGCTTGCGAACGGGAGGTTAACTCGGAGTGGCACGCGAGAGAGGCAAGAACAGAGAGGTTGACAACATGATCCAGACTGACGCTGGCAGGCCCTTTTATTGTCTCTTCTCCAATCCAAAGTTAAAAATCTTTGAAAACCTAAGAAATGTTGTTGTCTTTTAAATAAAAGAGACACAAAGCAGCAGCGGGGGGTTATTGTCTGACCCCCATGGGGGGAGTCGCTGCAACAATTCGTATTCCATCTTTTGATGACTGCACGAGAGAAAGCCGAAGGAGGGGGAGAAAGGGAGCGTGCGCGCGAGAGAGAAAAACACGCGCAGACGGAGGAGAGCCTCTTGAGGGCTGCATCAAATTCCTGTGATCATACATAATACTCTTTAAAATGGTGTTTTTCTTCCTGTTCGTCACGTTCCATTCAGCTGATCAATTGTTTCTTCTTTTGACGGTGCCACCCTCCCTCTTTCAACCCCCCTCCCATTTTAAAGTCCCCTTCCCCTCGACTGTCCTTCTAACATGAGAGAGAGGGAAAGAGAGAGATAGAAAGAGAGTAAGAGTGACAGCTTCTGTCAGAGGCAAGAGAAACAGTCCTGTCTCATTGATTTATGGAGGCAACGCACCACAACTTGTCCACAACTGAAGCCCCCAGTTCATTAATTAGCGAGCTGGGGGACTTTGAAGTAAGCATGTGAGAACATGTGTATGCGTATGTGTGTGTGTTTTATAAAGTTCGCCTTCATTTATACGCTCTCTCTCCTGTTACAGAATGAAGCTCTCGGTGGGGAAGTTAAAAAGTGAAACTCTGATTGTCTTTGAACTGCTTTTGACCGCGCAATAATCACTTCTTTTGTCCAGAGCATTGCCATATCCTGCTGTCATTAGAGCAGCCAGAAACACAGCTGGTGATACAGCCTTAAAATGAAAAAAGACAGAGAAAGACAAAGAGGTAGAACACTTCAGATATACTACAACTGTGCCGTATTTCTGTCAATAGGGAAACCTCATGTACCATTCAATCTGGTCATATCGTACACATAAATATAAATACACAGAGCGCTCATAAAAGGATCTATACGGATTCTGCGCACCTATTTCTTGTTGAATCACAAATATTTGTTTATTAAATATTTTGGCAAATAAGACTGTACTTTTAGATTGATTTAATACATTTTACTGTGACAAAACTACACAGATTTCCCCACCAAATACATACTCAATTGATGCTTAAAGGGGTCATAGGATGCTATATGCACTTTTACAAGTTGTTTGAACTGAAATGTTTGTTGGCAGTGTGTGTACACAACCACCCTAAAATGATAAAAATAAATGCGTCTGTTCGCGCGAATCATTCATGATCCAGCCTCAACTACAGAAGAAGTGAGTATAATGTTTTGTAATGAATCTTTGCAAATCATCTTTCCTAATAATGAGCTGTTGAATGCGGCTAAAGTAAACAGTCCCTCAGAGAGCGGCTCGGCTCGGAAGAGAGGGGCGGGGTCAGCAGAGCTCATTAACATTTAAAGAAAAATGCTACAAAAACGGCTTGATCTGAAAAGAGCTGTTTTTGACAGGGTAAAACATTTGTTTTTTACACTACCATTGGGACATTTTAACCAAACTATGTTACAGACTTTTCATTAAGAATCTAAAAAATCATATCAACTTGTGGAAAATGGGCATCCTATGACCCCTTTAACATGGAATGTGACAATCAGTTGAAACATATACTACTCTTCACAAAAGTTTTGTTCAGGGAGATTTTTTTTAAAGCAATCAATACTTTTATACAGCAAGTGTGCATTAAACTGATACAGTTACAGTAAAGACTTTTTCCATTTCAAAAAATCTGTTCTTTTGAACTCCTTCAAATTTTTTTTGAATGATTTCTGAAGGATCATGTGATACTAAAGACTTGAATAATGACTGCTGAAAATTCAGCTTTGCCATCACAGGAATAAAATACATTTTAAAATTGTAATAATATTTCATAATATCACTGCTTTTACTGTAATTTTGACTTTTTGATCAAATAAATGCTGCCTTGGCGACCGTAAGTACGGAAGAGGATTAGGGACAAACAATAATAAAAAAATAAAACCATCTTGAGATTAAAGTCATTATAATGCGAAATTGAACTTGTTAAATTTTGAGAAAAAATGTCGAAATAAAATGTTGAGAATAAACTCATTAAATTTCGAGAATAACGTCGTTGTTTTTCGAGAAAAAACTCTCTAAATTTTGAGAAAAAAGTCGAAATAAAATACTGAGAATAAACACATTCGTGTCATGTTCATTTTATCTCATTGGACAGTGTTGATCAGCGTTCGCAGTGGCGCAGGTCGTAGAGAGCAATGCTCGTGGATGAAGCCTATGCTGTTGACCAGAGTTCGAATCCGCCTTTTGTGAACTCTTCTTTCTTTTTTCATCACATATCACATCGGAAAAGTGGAAATCAATTGCCTAACGAGTGTTTAATAATGATGTATTAACTGGGTAGGTTTAGGGGTTAGTAGGCTATAAGGAAGGCTTTTTAACAGTAAGGCAGCGTCTATTTAATAATTTAAATAAATAAAATCATTTACACTCAATGTTATTATTGCATCCTGTTAATGTACAACAATACTGAGGTGCAAATAGTATCTGTCTCTATTTATAAGTATAAATAGCATCTAATTACTATTTACACTTATTGCAAATGCTACTGTTTTATTATTGCATCCTGTTAATGTACAACAATACTGAGGTGCAAATAGTATCTGTCTCTATTTATAAGTATAAATAGCATCTAATTACTATTTACACTTATTGCAAAGATCTGCTACTGTTACATAGCGTAAATAGAATCACTATTTTCACTTAGTGTAAATAGCACATCACTAAAAATGCTGCTGTTGTCACTTAGAGTAAATAGAATATATCACTATTTTCACTTAATGTAAATAGCATCCGATGTGATATGTGATGAAAAAAGGAAGAAGAGCGAGTTTGGCAAAAGGCAGAAACAAACTCTGGTCGACCACATACGCGAGCATTACTCTCTACGACCTGCGCCACTGCAAAGTTGAGTAACACTGTCCAACGAGATAAAATGAACATGACACGAATGTGTTAATTCTCAGCATTTTATTTAGACTTTATTGTCATAATTTAATGAGTTTATTCTCAACATTTAATTAAGTTATTTTTTTTCTCGAAACACAACAACTTTTTTCTCATAATTTAATGAGTTTATTCTCAACATTTAATTTCGGCTTTTTTTCTCTGAATTTAACTAGTTTTTTCTCAACATTTAATTTCTGCTTTTTTTCTCTGAATTTAACGAGTTTTTTCTCAAAACAACAACTTTTTTCTCGCAATTTAATGAGTTTATTCTCAACATTTTATTTTGACATTTTTCTTGAAATTTAACGAGTTTAGTCTCGCATTATAATGACTTTAATCTCGAGATTTTTTTTTTTTTTTTTGCTTGGCCCTAATCCTCTTCCACATGACTTCCTTCCAAAAGAAGGAAAAATTTATTTTGGAAAAAGTAGATTATACTGGATGGGGCAACATCACAGAAATACATTTTATCTCACAACTGTTTAGAACAGAAAATCTAATTAAACAGAAAAAGATTATTGCTGGTGTAGAAATAGAAGAGCGGGAAAGGGTTCTTCCCATTGTTAAAACTCAAAATAAGATGACACAGAGGTGCTGGAATGGTTTAGCTTTTGTACTTCTGTTGGTGGGAAACAGCTGCTGGATGCACTGGGGGCAGGTAATGAACACCAGGGCTGAGCGTATGTGTAAAGTAATACAGTCAGCATACCTCTTTACTCTGCTGTTTGCTGCCATGCTGCTGCTGGATGAGCTGAAGGTGGAGTTGTTCTTGCTGTTTCTTGTAGAACTCCTGGAGTTGCTGCTGCAAAATCACACAGAGTCATAAACTAAAGACACCTCTTCAGTACTTCTGTTATGTTTTATTATTTCCCCCCACTCTGATCCTTAGAATTAAGACATTTTACTACAGTACATTACCTCATTTCTTCTATATTAAATATGTGGCATAATAATACTTATACATTTATTTCTAAACCGGTTTGAATACGAACAGAAGTTTTGCACTGTGAACATCTGCAAGTTTGTCTATAGATCCCTCACTCTCATTTCAAAACCAAAAAATTCCTGAGAATCAGGAACAACCTACAGTCAGAGTTCATAATCAGAATGTGTGGAATTCTTTGAGTCATGTGTCACAGATTTACCATAGAATTGTACAAGTTGTTTCATTAGAATATTTTTAATTCTTGTAATACAAGAAAAAAATGTCGGCCTATTTGTTGGTCATATAGATTGAGCAACAGTTAAAACAGATGAAAGAGAGGGATGTACTGTATGCTCAATGCAATGAAAAATAAATGAACTGTTTGTAGGGCATGCTTTTGGCAATTAAATACTTGTAATGATAAATAATAGTTCTAGCTCTAAAATCTGATTTCCAGCTGAAATATGCACGTCATGTTAAAACTAACTAGACAAGACGAACAGACTATATTTACATGTTGTATTATTTTATTATTGTGATAATAATAATAACAGTACAAAACTGTGTTGAAATATACCCGACATGTTGCTACGAGACTAACAGACTATATTACCTGCTGTATTAATTTTCATTGTATTATTATGATGATGATATTAATAATAATAATAACAATAATTATAAAAATTATATTATGATAATTATCTAAATGATCTAATAAAAAATTAATGTTATTAATACCAGGAACATTTTTCATAGTATTACTGTTGTTGCTAATTTATAAGATTATAAATTACATTATGACTATAACATATTACATCGTAATCTATTCCAAATTATTTATTCAGACTATTAATTAATTAATTAAATTTTTTACTAATTTATTTATTGAACTCCACTTCACATTGTGCCCATTGTGACACACAGACCCTCAATGGCTTGTTTGTTTGTTTGCCAAAGCCTGAGTAATATTCGAACAGAAGAAATGTATATGCTCTGAAACAGAACAAGAGTGCGTACCTGCTGTAACATCAGTGCTTGTTGTTGCTGCAGTAACAGCTGGAGCTGCTGTGGGCTCAGAACTTGGTGTTGGAGGAGTTGCTGCATCTGCTGAGGAGTTATGACCTGTGGTGTCATCATAGCAACAGAAACTGGGACCTACACAAACACAGGAAGAGGACAGACCTATGAATACAATGACAATTGGATAATCACACAATACTCACAATACATACACTAAAGATAACATATCATATGTCCTGTCAGTAACCTGTCACCAGATGAATGTGCTATGAGATCAAGATCTGTTTCTCTAAAACCACCTGAGGAGCTTTCAGAACCAGTGATACGAGAAGCCAAAGCTGTGTTGACTGATGGGAGACTGAAAGATACAAAGAGAAACACCAACACCACACACACACACACAAACAAACACAAACACACTCGAACAACCACAGAACGTCCCTTTCATCAAACGTCCCACTCCACTGACAAGGCCACTGGCCATTATTCTGGAGTGCTGTCCATGTTTTGCATGTGACTGTGTGAATACGTTTTGTATTTTCATTTTTTTCATGATTGCCCCCCCTTTCATCAGTGTGAAGCGTCTTGTCCCTGCGATACTTCACTAAAATGGGTCACAACTCTCTCGGTGTACCATAACGTTGTGTACATAAACTTAAAATCGCTGAATATCAATTAACACGAATAAATGCAGGATGTGCTGTCGACTGTGTTCTTTGTTAGTTCGTCAAAAACAATTCATGAGTATGGAAAAAAACAGTCCCTCTCTAAAAAAATACATCAAAACACACATTAAAGGGCATTCAAACAAGCTCAAGCAGAATAAAATGAATGAACATATTATGGCCGGAAAGCAAAATGAGGTGTGAGGACATTGAGAGGGTCCTCGTGCTGTTGACAGGGGTCTTTAATTAGAGGAGAGGCTGCATGAATACAGTATATGCGTGTGTCTCAGTGTCAGATACTCCACGTCATTAAAATCTCCTTTGTGACACTGGGTGACAAACCACGTCTGTGCTGAACTTGATAGCGGCGGGCATTTGCAACTGTTAACATATCCCCAGCGTGTTTTAGCGAGATCGCAGATGTACGTCTCAAATCTTCTCCTGATTGGCCAGACATTAGGGCGACAGTCTCCCTTCACCAAGGTTACCCCAATTGCATCTGATTCAGAACCGCTGACACGCATTTGAATTACTCCAGTCTTGATGAATGTAATTGAGTCTGTTCTCTCTGTAAGGACCGGGGTTAACCTCCACATTGTCTCCGCCTATTTCAGCCCACACTAAATATAACAATAAAAAACAGAAAACCTTTAAAGAACTTCCTAAATACACACAATGTTACAAAGAAAGGGTTGAATGTGTTAAAAACTCATCACCAAAATGGATATGTGTTGCTTGGATCAAAGTAAAACACACGCACGCACGCACCCCAACACACGGGTGTTACGTCTTAATATGCAACCCATTTTTCACATGACTTAGCGCACCATTTGCATAGGCTGCACCCCTTGATTTCTTCATTTCACAGTCATTATGCACTCATGTCCTTGTTTCTCAGCGCCACTAATTTTGATGAACTATTCTGAAGGTCAGAGAGGCAGACGGGTGGGTGGTGAGACAATACAAGCTAAAACGCACAGACACCAGGCACGGGCACATTTATACTTGGCAAAGAAATTCAAATTTATACTTTGCAGTGTTACTTTATCATAGAGCTACTATTATAGTTTTTATGAATATTATAAAATAGTTTTTATTTTCTGTTTTCATTTTAAATTTAGTTCAAGATTTAGTAATTTTGTTGTGTTATTTATTGTGTTGTTGTTGTTATTATTATTATTATTATTATTTAATATGTCTACATAGTTTTTGAAATTTAAAGTTTGGAAGAGTAACTGATCTTTTTACTCAAGTTAATTTAATTTGACTTGATTAGATTTAAATTTACAACGTAACATTTAAACAAACAATTTGTTTTTGTAAAATTTTCTGAAATGTTTGAGAGATCTTTGGTTTTGAGTAAACTTTACTTTTGAATTTGGTTTTGAACTTTTTTCTTAATTATAATGTATAAATAAAGACAAATTTACAACTTAAACATTTCAAATTGCATTAAACTTTGTATTTATGAGTTTATTTATTTTTTTTTGTCAAATTCAGAAACTAACTATAACGCTTTTAAAAAAAAACTTTATTTGGTAGTTGGAACTGTTATAAAATCTATTTTAAAAAGTTGCTTGGTTTTAAGAATGGTTCCAACCTTTACAAATTATATTTTAAAACACAAATTAGTAAAAATGTTTTGTATGTTAGTAAAAAAAAGTTTATTTTTTTTTGTATGGTAATTTCAGTTAAAGGGTTAGTTCACCCAAAAATGAAAATTAGGCTGTGTTTTACTCACCCCAGAGGCATGCTAGGTGTATATGACTTTCTTCTTTCAGACGAATCCAGTTGGAGTTATATTAAAAACTGTCCTGGCTATTCCAAGCTCTATCATTGCAGTCAGCGGGTGTTGCAGTGCTTCAGTCCCAAAGAAGTGAAATAAAAAGCGCCCATCCATAAAAAAAGTGTCTCACACGGCTCCGGGGGTGAACAAAGGCCTACTGTAGCAAATCGATGCGTTTTTGTAAGAAAAATTTCCATATTCAAAACGTAATAATCACTTGAATCTAGCTTGCGCTCACTGTTGTAAACAGAAGCAGTTCCGGGCGGATGACGTATGAGGTCAGCTTTGCGCATGCGC